CCCTAGGCAACGTCTAACCAACTTTCCGCCATAGATCTATCTGCCTATTCTGGACATTTCATGTAAATAGAGTCCTACAGTATGTGGCCTTTTGTATATGAATTCTTTTCAAGATTTTCAAGGTTCATCCATGTTGTGACATGAATAATCCGTCATTTTCTTTCTTTCTTTCTTTCCTTTTTTTCTAGGGCCAGATGTCTTTAGTTTTCAAAAAGTTCCTCCAATCATTTTGAAGTTCAAAATGGGTTAGGAAACCACCTTTGGCTATTACTTTTCTTAATTCTATTATTTGGCTTGGAATAAAGCTGATTTTTATAAATTTGTCAATAACACCTTACTGAGCACTCTTCAGATAATAATGTATATATTTTTATTGTGGCAAAATATATGTAACATAAAATTTACCATTTTAACCATTTTTAAGTGTACAATTCAGTGATACTAAATATATCCATCATTTTGTACAACCATCACCACTATCCATTTCCAGAGCTTTTTCATCTTCCCAAAGGGAAACTTATACGCATCAGACAGTCTTTCCATATCTCCTCCTCCAGCACTTGGTCAACTCCATTCTAATTTCCATCTCTATGAATCTGCCTATTCCAGGTTCCTCATAGAAGTAGAACTTTATATCGGTCCCTTTGTGTCTGTCTTATTTCACTTACCATGATGCCTTGAAGGTTCATCTGTGTTGTAACATATAAATGAATCTCATTCCTTTTAAAGACTGAATAATATCCCATGATATGGGTAGACCACATTTTGTTTATTCACCCATCACCAATGGACATTTCAGGTCATTTCTGCTTTTGTACCATTTTGAATAATGCTTTAATAAATCTTCGTATATGAGTTTTTGTGTGAATACCTGTTTTCAGTTCTCCTGGGTACGTACGTACCTGGGAGTGGAATTGCTGGGTCATATGGTGACTCTGTGCTTAACTTTTGAAGAACTGCCAAACTGTTTTCCAAACTGGCTGCACCGTTTTACGTCTGCCAGTAATATGTGAGTGTTCCAGCTTCTCTACATCATTGCCAGCACTTGTTCTTTTCCATGTTCTTTTTTTTTCCATTACGATCATCCTGGTAGGTGTGAAGTACTGTCTCATTGTGGTTTTATTTGCATTTCCTTAATGACAAATGATGTTGAACATCTTTTCATGTGCCACTAATTTGTCTGTCTGCTTTGTAGAAATGTCTACTTTAAAATTGAATTATTTGTCTTTTTACTGTTGAGTTCTGAGAATTCTTTTCTAGTCTGGCTGCTAGACCATTCTTAGATTCACAATTTGCAAATATTTTTTCCCATTCTGTGGGGTTCTCTTAACTTTCCTGATAGTGTCATTTGTTGCACAAAATTTTGAATTTTGATGAAGTCTAATTTATCTCTTTTTAATTTGGTTGTTTGTGCTTTAGGTGTCACAAGTATGACACCACTGCCAAATCCAAAGATGTGAAGATTTACACTTATGTTTTTTTCAAAGTGTTTTATCATTTTAGCTCTTACATTTAGATCTTTGATCCATTTTGAGTTAATTTTTTTATAAGGTGTGAGGTAGAGGTCCATATTCATTCTTTTGGATGTGGTTGTCCAATTTTCCCAGCACTGATTATTGAAGGCTAGGCTACTCTTTACTCCTTTGAATTGTCTTGGCACTTCTGTCAAAAATCAATTTGTGTACTTGTATGGGTTTATTTCTGAATTCTCAATTCTGTTCTATTGATAGATATGGCTATCTGTATGCTAGTACCGCAATCTTGATTACTATAGCTTTGTAATAAGCTTTGAAACAGGGAAGTGTGAGTCCTCAAATTTATTCTTAATTTTCAAAATTGTTTTGCTCTTTTGGTTCCCTTGCATTTCTGTATGAATTGAGCATGAACTTGTTAATTTCTGCCCCAAAAAGCAGTTGAGATTTTGATTGACATTGCCTTGAATTTGTGGATTTGTTTGGGGAGTATTGCCATCTTAACAACATTATATCTTCTAATACCTGAGCATGAGATGGTTTCCACTGGTTTAGGTCTTCTTTGATTTCTGTTGATGATGTTTTGTAGTTTTCAGTGTACAAGTTTTATACTCCATTTCTTACATTTATTCCTAGGTATTTTGTTCTTTTGGATGCTCTTATAAATGGAGTTGTTTTCTTAATTTCCTAACTTTGGGATTGCTTATTGCTAGTGTATAAAAATACTACTGATTTTTATATATTGATCTTGTATCTTGAAACTGTGCTGAACTTGTTTATGAGCTCTAATAGTTTTGTGAATGTGTATCCCGTAGAGTTTTCCCTATATAGGATCATTCCATCTGCACACAGAAATAGTTTTATTTGCTTAATTGCCATGCCTGGAACATCCAGTACAGTGTTGAATAGAAGTAGTGAGAGGGACATCCTTATCTTATTCCTAATTTTAGAGAGAAAACTTTCAGTTTTATCATTAAATGTGATATTAGCTATATGCTCTTCATCAGGTTAAGAAAGTTCCCTTCTATTTCTAGTTTGTTGGGTGTTTTTATTATAAAGGAGTATTGGACTTTGTTGAATGCTTTTTCTGCATCTGTTGAGGTGGTCTAGTGGTTATTGTCTTAATTTTATTAGTATGTTGCATTACATTGATTGATTTTTACATATTAAACCATCTTTGTATTTCTTGATCATGGTGTATAATCCTTTTTATATGCTGCTGGATTCAGTTTGCTGGTATTTTGTTGAGACTTTTGTATCTGTATTCATAAGGGATATTACAGTTTTGATTTTTTTTGTGATGTCTTTGTCTGATTTTGTATCAAGTCAATACCAACCTTACAGAATGAGTTGGGCAGTGTGTCCTCTTCTGTTTCTTGGAAGAATTTGCAAAGGATTGGTATTAATTATTTAAACATTTGGTAGAATTCATCAGTGAAGCCATCTGGTCCTGGGCTTTTCTTTGTGGGGGTTCATTTTTTAATGCAAGGTGCAGAAGAGTATTTATAGTACAATCCCATCTGAGAGAGAAAGTAAGTCTTTTTAAGGCTGTATCTGTATGCTTGTATTTACACAGAAAAGTTCAGAAAAGATGTACAAAAAAAGATATAACAGCAAAGGTTATCTTTGGGTAATGAGATAAGTCTTCTGTGCCTTATATATAATTACAAGCGTGTATTGCTTGGTATATATATTTTTTTCTTTAAAGATTTTATTTATTTATTTATTTGACAGAGAGAGGGGTCACAAGTAGGCAGAGGCAGGCAGAGGGGTGGGGTGAAGCAGGCTCCCCGCTGAGCAGAGAGCCCAATACGGGGCTCCATCCCAGGACCCTGAGATCATGACCTGAACCAAAGGCAGAGGCTTAACCCACTGAGCCACTCAGGTGCCCTATTTTTTAAAGCCTACTTAGAATGGCTAACGTTTGACAATTTGCTCTTTCATCCACACAATGAGTTGCCAGTGCTATGTACTTGCCACTGGCCTTGTCTCCTTAGGAGCTCAGTCTCGTAGGCCCCTGCCTCTCCAGCTTCGTAGTCTGCTGCACCCCTTCTCTGTTTCTCCTCCATCAACACCAAATTACCTATCAGTTCCCTGAGAATGGCCCATGGTTATGTGCTACTGTGCTTCTCTACATTCTATTCTATTCCCTTTCCCTGCCAGCCCTTCCCCTTGTATCTTTGAAATGCCTTCCAAATATCAGTTCCCTTCCTTCATGAATACCTTCCAACTCACTCTCCTCCCTTCCATTCTTTACCCAAGGGGAGAAGAAACTCCCCCTCCTGCTGCCTCTCATACAGTATGCATATTTTTCTTACTGAACTTTGTATTTACCCTGCATCATAATCACTAGTTCACATATATGCCTTCCCTAAAAGTACAGTTTTATCCAATTTTGTAACCCAGAGTTTAGCACGGAATCGATGCTCAGAAGTACTTTGAATTGAATTCATGAGACAGGAAAAGGCATTGTGGGTAGGATGAGCAATGTGAGCAAAGGCCAGTTATGACTTACTATAACATGGCAAGACAGGAAGATTCACGTTGGGAAATAGAGTTGAATGATTTCGTCGAGGCTGTTTGGTCGTGGAGGCTTTTGAGAGCCAGAGAGAATAGACTCCGTAGATAAGCACCAGTGGAATGGAGAGCTCTTCTCACTTACTTCGAGTCTTTGCTCCATGGACCACCTCCTTCAGTATGGGTCACCTCTCCATTCACATGTCCCCTGACCCCAGCACTTTCTGTCTCCCCTTCCCTCATCTTCCTCCTTTTTCCATAGCTCTTACCACATTGTATATCATTTACTTATTCGTTATTTTTTTTTTAATATGTTGTCTTTCTTCCCCATTAGAATATAAGCTTCCGGGGTGCCTGGGTGGCTCGGTGGGTTAAAGCCTCTGCCTTCAGCTCAGGTCATAATCCCAGGGTCCTGGGATCGAGCCCCGCATCGGGCTCTCTGCTCAGCGGGGAGCCTGCTTCCTCCTCTCTCTCTCTGCCTGCCTCTCAGCCTACTTGTGATCGCTGTCTGTCAAATAAATAAATAAAATCTTTAAAAAAAAAAATTAAAAAAAAAAAAAAAAGAATATAAGCTTCCTGCACCATGGTAGCCTTGTTCACTGCTGTTTCTCAAGCACTTAGAACATTGCCTGGAACACAGTAGGGATGTAGAAAACAGTTGTTGGGTGAATGAATCCCAAGTTAATGAACTTCAATATCTTGTCCAGAACTGGCAGAGTACAGCCTAGGTATAATTCAAATATGTTTCTGAAAGAAAGAAAGAAATTTATAGAAGTACATAAAATTGCTAAGATAGTGCCCATTGTGTGTTATGTCTGTAATCTGGAGCAGGTCAGGGGAGGGATGGGAGGGAAAGACACAGTGTCTTAAGGTTTCTTGCCTTAGAAACCAGCTTGGGAAGTCAAAATTATAAATACATTTAAGTTTATTTATTTCTTGCCTAGAAAAGTGTTGTTGTGTGTGGTGACTAATTCCCATGCTTTAATAATTTCTCTTTTTCTTTCTCCACAGACCTTTGTAGTATTAAACAGAGGGAAAACTCTCTTCAGATTTAGTGCCACGCCTGCCTTGTACATTTTAAGTCCTTTTAACCTGATAAGAAGAATAGCTATTAAAATTTTGATACATTCATATCCTTTTCTACAAATGTGGGCTGAGTGCAGCATTTGCATGGTCGCTGGTATATAGAATATGTTTCTGAACTTTGACAATTGCATTGTATATTAAGTATCTTATCAGTAGTGTCACTGACAGTAGTGTCGGAGCTAGCAGTTTGCGTGACCTTCTGCCAGATCCTGGACTAAGCTTCAGCCAACTCTCTTTTCCCAGAATGAAATCGCGGGAATCCGGAATTTTGTTGGTATCACGAGGAAAGACAAATCAAGACACTAACCTGTAACTGAAACCTTACTCTTTGAAGTGCTCAGAGTTCAGTAATTTCATCCTGAGGCAAACGATTCAGGTCTTTAACACAAGTTCAATGCTAGAATTTTTTGGAAGGCCACTTCTTGAGTGTAAAGAGTTCAATGAATGCTTTAGAAATCTGCCTTGAATATTTTTGATTTCTTGAGCAGTGTGTATGGAAAGTGCCAGAGACAGTTTCTCACATTAAATGGCCCCTTCGAAAAAATAAATAAATAAATAAATAAATAAATAAATGGCCCCTTTGTATAGAGGTTTAGATCCAGATTGCAAGCCTAATATGAGTCTCTACTCGCATTCCCCGCCCCTTCAGCAGAAAATGCCCATTTACTCATGTGGCCTGACTTTCATATTTTTTTAATATAGGAGAGTGTATGACAGATGAAAAATTATGTGATGAGTTTAGCAACTTTGCATAGTGACTTTATATTTAATGGTTGGAGTTTAGTTTGTCAGGACTTAGTCCCGTGCTCTGAAGGATATTGTATTCTCCAAGTAGGATGAGGAAAGTGGCGATTGGAACTTAGTAAATTGGTTGGTTAAGCTGTTGGCACATTTTATTGACTCTAAGAATTTAGCAGCCCAATTCTGAAATCTGTGGTTTACAAGGAACATAGTTCTGAAACTTAAAGGTTTACAAGGAATAAATAATTCACAGTGGACTTCCTCCCCTTTTGTTGGATCAGAAGGCAGCATCTTTTTCTCTTCTAACTGGAATGTGTTATTCCCGGAAGAAAAGTTGAGCTGTAATGAAGAAAAAATCCAGCTGTAAGAAGTATTTTTTCTTTAAAAAACTCCATTAGTAGAGTGAGGATGGTGAAAGCTGTTAGCAAGAGAGAGAGTTAGCAACAAATGGAATATGGTTTCTGTGCTTGTTCAAGTGACAGTTTTTTTGAGTTTGAGTAACTCACATGCTGACCTAAAGGAGTTTATTTTTTTCTCAGTAGACAAAAACAGAAAGGGTTGAGAAAAATCTTGGATGGAATAGAAAAAGCAGCAAAATGGTTTGCTCTCCATAAACATTCCTGAGCACTTTGAGCATGACCAGACGCATCTTCCCCTTTACCTAATTCTTAGTATGGTGGTGCATATGTCCTTGAAATCCTCAACCAACAGGTCGTGACTGGTTTCCCAAACTGTTCAGATGCCACACATAGCGGCTGTTGCCTTGCCCTCTAAGGACAATTCAGCCCTTTGGGGACCTAGGAGTGAACCGTTGTGTTCTACCCCTGAAACCACCATAACAGTGTGTGCCAACTATACTTCAATTAAAAAAAAAAAAAAGTGAACCATTAATTGCATGTAGCTTTCCAAATAACTAGTTATGCAAGACAAGATAATTAACTTAACAGTAAATGAGTACTGAATAATATAGATTCGATTTAATGTGTTTTTTCACCTGATGATTTGGGCATATGGTAGGCCAGTAGATTTCTGGTTACTCTGTACACCGGGATTTAGAGACTTATTCCATAGCTGAGGCTGAAGAGGGAAGGGGTAGGGGGGAAGATGATTTATCCAAAAGGAGTAGAGCAGTGACAGCCCTTTTGAAAGAAAGAGAGTGGCTCTCCTGCTGTGTCCACCCACAGTTCTCTGGTCAGGTGTGGATACATATGGCGGCATTCTGTGTTCATGGTGGCTTTCATTATCACCTCGCCATTTCCTTGTCCTCTGTGCTTTGTCTCCTTTCAGGTTACTGACTTAATTCTCGTGATACCCAATGTGAAATGTGTTTGCTTTCTGAGGAAGAAAATAGGCCAGATTTTGTATATTCTCCCTTGACTCTTTTCTACAGTATTTAGCATGATCATTATGTGCACTATTTTGACCAACTGTGTATTCATGACTTTTAGTAACCCTCCTGAATGGTCGAAGAATGTGGAGTAAGTAGCTCATTTATTTATTTGTCTGCTTGCTTGTTTTAAAGATTTTTACACACCAAATCTTGCTTTGCACAGTTTATCCATCAAGGAAAAAAATTGGTTTTTTCCCACTCTTTACTTCACAGAGAAGGGTGAGGATCCATGTGGAATTTAGGAAATATCCTTAGAAGTCAACTCTAGAAAGAGAAAGTGCGTTCTGGAAGTTACTGCCCTTCACCTCCACCCTTACCTGTGCTGGCCAATGCCTTTGACTTGCTGCCCCAGCGCCATCTTGTGCCCTCAGTTAGTCTCTCATGACACTGCTTTCTTCTCCAACATGAGGTTTCCTATTTTTTTTTTTAACTTGTCTAAAGTTAAAAATAGCTCTGGGGCCTCCTCACCTGGTTCAAAATGATCACCTGCTAGATGGCACCCAGTACAGCATTCCAGAGTTCTTGGTTTTCTGTTTCGGTAAGTTTCTTTCAAAGCATCCCTTTCTCTCCTGCCTTCCTTTCTGCTGCATTGGCTGTGCCGTTCCGTTTTGTCTCTACTAGTTGAAGCCACATTTCAGGCACTGTTACCTTCAAGGATTCATTTAAAGTTTCTGTCTGTTTGGAAATTACCTCAAACTCTCCATTTCTTTGACAGGTACACATTCACAGGGATTTATACATTTGAATCACTAGTGAAAATCATTGCGAGAGGTTTCTGCATAGATGGCTTTACCTTTTTACGGGATCCGTGGAACTGGTTGGATTTCAGTGTCATCATGATGGCGTAAGTTGTCTGCTTACTTTACTGCTGTTCTGGGTGTGATTGTGTATGTGTGGTTGTATTCCTGGTTGTGTCTGTAAGTGTGTTTATAGACAGTTATAAGAGGAACTAATGGGTAACCATTTAAGGCCAAACAGGCTTTATGCCTGTGATTCTTGCTTGTGAGGACAATGACAGCATGCTTCCATGGGAGAAGGAAAGCCAAGGTTTTACAGCGAGGAAGGAAAGTAGCAAGTGATTTTCCATTGACACGCTCTCATATTTTCTTCCCCCTTTTAACACTGATCAAGGTTTGCCTGCTTATCACCGTGGGGCCTTGGTGAAGATTTGAAATTTTTTAGGTGTTAACCTTAACCTGAAAATCAGTTTCTTGGATATGTTATATCGCGTGTAATTTCATGAGGCTGGTCCAGATGTTGCAGACTTGAGAGCACATTTTAAAGTTAAAACATGAGCCAAGGTGTCCAAACTGGTCACTTCCTAAGGAAGTACGTACTGACCAGAAGTTCAAACTATTGTGAGAGGGCAGTATGACCCCCACATTAGTGTGCTAGCTGCATGTTTGCATACCTGTATCTCTTTGGGAAATGTAAATGATGGTTGAAGAGTTAGAGCAGATTTAACTATTTGTATTTTAGGTGCGGAAGCACTCTGTGGTATGGTGGGGAGTAAGGGCATTGCATAGATTGTTTGTGTGCGCGCAGATGTGTAAGAGAGTGAGTGCGTCTGTATATATACGGGTCTGAGCGTCGGAAAGATGGGTTTCAGCTGTAAAATGTGAATGAGTGAATGCTATGCACTGAATATTTGAAACTGAAACTTTGACTTTCTGTTATATTAAGGCAATTTCCAGCTTTCCAACATTATGAATACACAGTGGTGTTCATTTAAAATTTAAGTGTCCTTGCTGGGCACAGAGCTGGTGATAAAATGGGCACTTAACACACTATTTGCTTTGATCCCATGATCCTGAGCCCTGCTTTTGTATGTCACAGGCACTTCATCTGAGGGCGTGACTGCAAAGATATGTGTGCAACTCTTCGATAAGTCATATATGTAGACATTAAGGCACTTTTGCCATAGTCAACTAGGGAGCTATTTGATGTAAATTTGTTTTTATGGGGCTTCAGCTACAGAAATTTGCCTCCTTTTTCCTAAGAAATTATTCACAAAGCTTGGGGACATAAGCCTTTGATACATCCTGGCCTGCCTTTTTGCTAAAAATAATGAATGGACCGAGAATAGTCATTCTGATTGGGATCCACACAACACGATGCTGATTAAGAGAGTAAGCCCTCAGAACCTCCTGGTTGTATCAGTTCTTTCAAATATTCTTTTGAATTCTCCTTGCCCAACTGAAAAAAGAAATGTGTTCTTTAAGTGTTTATATTTAGAAATTTTCTTTTTCAACAACAAAAAGAATGAAATCATAGCTTGTGTATAAGACCCTTTCTTCCCCCCCAATTGTCAAACCCTCGCCCAGTGGTACCATTACAAGTTAACTTTGGTTTGATTCTGCAGGTATATAACAGAGTTTGTAAACCTAGGCAATGTTTCAGCTCTACGCACTTTCAGGGTACTGAGGGCTTTGAAAACTATTTCGGTAATCCCAGGTAAGATGGCCCGGGGTTGGTGTTAGGTGTTGGGTTAGGGCCCTGACGTGACGTATTGTACTTTTTGTTTTGTTGTGGTTTTGTTTTTTTTTTCCTCGGTGTTTGTGTTCGTGTCTGTGTTTGTCATTTGTGTCTGTGTGTGACCTCCCTTACTACAGATATGTGACAGAGTTTGTGGACCTGGGCAATGTCTCAGCGCTGAGAACATTCAGGGTTCTCCGAGCTTTGAAAACTATCTCTGTAATTCCAGGTGAGAAAATTTACACACACAATGGACTGCCTCATCGCCTCTTTGCCCTCCATTCATTGTGTCCACCACATTCTAAACCGGTGTCAGCACACTTGATATGGCCTTGCATTCCGCATGTTCTTCCTGGGAGACATTCTCTGGAATGGCCCTTTGGTCCTCAGGCCCTTGCGATGGCAGCGCTGGCCAGGCATGCAGCCCCCATTCCATCCATGCTTTGAGAAAGCACGTGCTGAAAAATCACTTGGATCCTCCAGTATCTGAAAAAATTGTCACAGAGCTAGCTGTCTCTTTACACATTGATCATTTGCTTCCTGGCCTCATGGAATTACAGTATATTTAACATTCACCGTCATCCCATTGCTTGTGGTTTCTAGGCTTCCTGTCGCATGGTTTGCTGATGGGATGTTATTCAATGAACTATACTTTTATTGTAACTGTGTTAATGGACTTATTTAACCACAGAAGACACCCACCCTGTTAACTAGTCCAGTTTTAGAGCCAAATTGAAGAGCCTTGGAGTTAGTGAACAACTTTAGTAATCACTATCACATCCTATTGCTGTCTGTTTCACTGGAGTAAGAACCAGTAGACATCTATTATGTATGTATTCAGAGGCCGTTCTCACACACAAATCCCAATGAAAGCTTGTGCAGACGCTGTTAAAAACAGTGAAAGGTAAGATAACATACATACGTCTGAATGTATGGGCAAACAACAAAGACAGAAGGAAAAGGAATCAGTCAGTGGGTGGCTGTGAAGTAGTTAACTGACAGTGGTTTCATAATTTTTGCCTCTTTCTTTTTGGTGCTGGTTGAACTAGCCAAATGCTTCTTAACCTTTTGAAAGTTTTAGGTCCTTTTGAGAAGCAGGGGAAAGTTCCCAGACCCTGCTGAAACCCACCCATGGACCCCACATTAAGATCCTTAATTTAATTTAAATCCTTACTACCAGGTAGTGCTTAACTATTTTTTCCAAAGGCTGGTCTTGAAATCTGGAAGGGAAGATATTTGAGCTAGTCTTGCTAGCCTGAGATACACGGGCAGGAACATGGCAGACATCAAGAGTGTGCAGTTGCTGGCTGGTCTCTGGTTCCATTCAGGGGCTTTCAGGGAAGACGCCCAAGGGACCAAGCTTCCCACTGTGCTCTTGTAGAAACAGGGACATGAAGAGCAGAGGCATCCTGTTCCTGGTGTCACATGGCTTTTCTGGCAGCCGACTCTGAAATATTCCTCTTTTCCCCTTTTCAACTTTATCTAAATATCAGACACAGAGAGAGGGAAGCCTAAAGATAGAGTCCTGGAGAGAGCTGACTTGGAATGTGGCTTTCTGAGAACCTCAAGGAAGGTAAACTTCAGTTTCTCCATTTACAAATCTAGGCATGAAGTGGGCCAGTAAATTCAGGCCCTACTAAAAATGAGTTCTTTTCTAGTTAGCAGGGGGAGCTTTCTCCCTGTCAGCTAGAGGCTGGGCATCAGTTGGAGTACATTTTTGGCAAAAAAAACTACAACCCTGACTTACCAAGGTTCAGTTCCTAGCCATTTTAAGTCTATTTGACAAAAAAGTGAAGCTCATTCTCCAGGCAACGTCACGCAGCTCATTGATGGAGGTTTAACCCTTAGGCAGGCCTTGTCTTATTTCTTCAGGCATCTGGAGCACCAAATCTGTACTTTCATTTTCCCTCTGCTCTCTTTCTTCTCTGGCCTCTTTTAAATATGATCCCATGTTTTCTGCTCACTTCCCCCAATGTACTCTGCAAGGCATCTGTCTCTTTATGTTCTTGTGATCTGAAAACTTCTCTTCCAGAATTAAATTGGAAAGCTGCGTTCTGTTCACTAACTAGGGCAGCAGATGCTATCTCTGGTCTAGCTTTTAGCTTCTGTCTCTGCTGTACGGTTAGCTTCTGACCACAGCACTTCTGCAAGGTAACTCTTGACCGGGATCAGACTACTTATCCTTATTATTAACCTATCTGTCTATTTGCAAAATCTATTTGTAAACACAGAGTAGTGCTCTATCAGTGATTTTTGTGTAGCAATTATTATTATAAAGAAGAAAGCTAAACCCAAAGAAAAGGTTTGTATCAAGCCTTAGACCTCCACTTCACAATTTGAAATAGATTCCAGATTCCTGTTTCTAGAAGCACCCCTACTCGAGCTGGCTTTGTGAAGTTAACTGGGATGCAAAATAACTCTAACGGCTAATAAAGTCAGTAATAGATCTATGAGTGGTATAATTGGTATTTGAATTAAAGTGTGACTTTTCATGCCAAGTCCTTTCTCTCCCCATTCTATTTATAGAAGACTGTGGCCCTGTTCCTACCTGCCTGTTAATCAGCTCTCCTTTCAAGATGGGAGCATGAGTCACTAGACCTGGTGCCATCCCTTGACTGGAAATCTCAGTCATTCTGACTCTACTGTAGAGCCAGGCCTTAGTCCCCTCTTAGTGAAAGCCATTGTTGTGCATGCCAAGTTTTTTCATGGGTCAGTTCAGTGGGACTGGGGCTCTCTTTACCTTTTCCTGTCCCCAGTTTGATTGTAGGCTTTTGCGAAAGCTGCCAGGAACAGAAGCAAGGGCAACCACATAACTGACATGAGGTCTGCAAGATCCCACAAAGCCTTCAGCTCCCTTCATGAGAGTTCTGCCTTCCTGGATAGCTCACCCACTCACCTGCCGTCCCTCTTAGAACTTTTGGTAGGTAGTCTGAATGTGTCAGCAAGGTCAGGACTCCCAGAAGGTGGGTAATGCAGTGCACTGGTTAGCTCCAGCCTTTTGGATAAGGGCTGGTTTGATTTAGAGCTTTCTAGTGCCTGAGAAAAGACCAAACCCACATTATGACCCTTTTTATTTGCTGAGTGGAGACTTAGATACGTATCACACATGGTGTCCTTTTTGCTTCCAAGGCCTTGGCTTGAAAAACTGTGCATGCAAACTGTAGTTACAGGAAAAGACCCTTTCTACATTTTCTTTGGTCCAGAATTTGCTGGATTCAACTCGACATTGAAGTATTCTGTGTAGAAATTCATATCTTAAAACTTTATTTTCAGAGCGCCTAGGTGGCTCAGTTGGTTCATGGTCCAACTCCTGGTTTCAGCTCAGGTCATGGTCTCTGGGCAGTGGGAATCGAGCCCTGCATCAGGCTCTGTGTTCAGCATGGAGTCTGCTTGTCCCTTTCCCTTTGTTCATCTCCCCCCACCGCCGTCTCTCTCTCTTTCTCTCTCTCTCTCTCAAATAAATAAAATCTTCAAACAAGCAAATAAACAAAAACTTTGTTTTTGCTTTATATTCATTCGGGGCCTGGGCATAAAAATGAGCTTCTGAGTGACTTTGTCAGAAGTTTGATCTTCTACATGTTTTAATCATGTGCCACAGGACTGACATACCCAAAGAAATTGTGGAAATCTCAAAGCAAGAATCTTGAGTTTTTCCTATTGAGTAGCATTTAGTGGTGTAAATAAAACCAGTTGGAACAGCCTTACTTGCCAGTTGCTTCTCATTTCTATCATCATTTCAGTGACTCCCCAAAAACACTGCATTTCTATTTGCCAACACTAGTTTAATATCATTTTGCTTTCTTTAGAGTTATAATTTTTTATTATTTTTCTCTTTGATTTTTTTTTTTTTTATTTCTGTGCTTTCATTTCTGTTACTTTCTCTCCTTACCTGTGGTATCAGGTAAGAAGCAGGAAAGAGGTTGGGCCCTTCTTCTTCCCACCCTGGTATTCACAAAGGAAGCATTTTCTTTAGACACATGCATTATGAAGATGGCAATTTCTGCTGCACAGTGAAGGGAGATAAAAAAGTGTTTTCATACTATATTTAGACTCCTTGTTTCCTTTATAATATTCTAGTTATTAATCCAGTGCCTCTTGTATTTCTCCTTTTCCCATTGCTTCTCAGAGAAGATAACTGAAGTTGAACACAATGGTCCTAAATGGGAAAACACTGGAGTCTCACAGGCTCCCACTGACCCACCTTTGGGAGCTAGTTTAAGTTTTGTTCAGACTTTGTGATGCAAATTTGGTCTTGGATAAATAAATCTACTGCCTTCAGATCTCTCCCAAATTATTCTTGATCTAAAGAACCCTCAAGAATATCATTGTGAGGCTTGAACCTGCAGCAGGAAAATTGACCTGGCACAACTTTACCCTAGGGCTTATCTGGACGAAGCCAGACTTTGGAAATTGGGGAACTTTTTCCCCCTGGGGTGAGAACTGCTTGTTACTGCTCTTGAGACCCGTTCCAATGTTAATTTTGTAGAATTAGCTCATGTGGCTTCAAACCAGACAGATTTCTCAACCTGAGCCACAAGCTAGGAAATATAAATTTACTTTATTTATGATCTGGCATCACCGCTGTGGAAGATTGTGATCCCGGGATGCATGGCTGATTTCTCCGGACTTGGCACATAAGCAGGCTTTGTTCATTTGTCCAAGGGGTTGGATGTCGTGAAAGGGGACGGGGGTTCAGATGCATTTGGATGTAGCAGCTTCACTGCTTCTCAAAATTCCTCAAGTGTCCTGACTTCCTCTCTGGTAGCTGACATTTCTGTACGTTGGGTCCAGCTGTCTTTTCTTGATCTGTAGTAAATGTATTAACTGCTTCTGCTCAGACTCATCCCAATACTATTTAATGTTAGCCTTTCCAAGAGTTCTCGCTGTCCAATTTGCCCCCATGTGGCTTCTGTTGCGCACTCTGTTGTGTAGGAGTTGTTTGAAGGAGCATTCTGCTCTGTTTGGGATAATCAGCTTCCAGTCAGTATCTTGCTTATTCTGGTGTGTGGTGGTGTGAGCCAGTAGAAGAAGCAAGGCAACTTCTCCTCACAGCCAGAACAGTGGCATTTTCCATTCTTGTATGCATCAGGTCAGGAATTCCACCAGCAGCTTCTCACTTTATTGACCTGTGTTGGTGCTAACAGGGAGCACTTTTGCCTGGCTGCATTTACTAGTGCGTGTCAGTCATTGCTGGCAAGACTGTAGAGGCTGAGCTCAAGAAAGGCATTATATGAAAGACCATCAGGTATATGAAAAGATGCTCAGCATCACTAGTCATTAGAGAAATGCAAATTAAAACCATAATGAGATATCAGCTCACACAAGTTAGAATGGCCATCATCAAAGAGATGCGACAGCAAACGCTGGCATGGATGCGGAGAAAATGGAACCTTTGCACGCTGTTGGGCTTAGTAAATTGGTGCAGCCACTATGGGAAGCAGTATGAAGGATCCTCAGAAATTAAAAATAGAACTACCATATGATCCAGCAATTCTACTTCTGGGAATATATCCAAAGGAAACGAAAACACTAACTCAGAAAAGATATCTGCACCCCATGTTCATAACAGCATTATTTACAATAGCCAAGACATGGAAGCAATCTAGGTGTCCATTGATGGATGAACAGACAAAATTGTGAGAGAGATACACAATGGAATATTGTTCAGGTACGAAAAATATGAGGAAATCCTACCATTTTTGACAACATGGATGGACCTTGAAGACATTATGCTCAGTAAAATGAGTTGGACAGAGAAAGACAAATAAATACTGTATGATCTCACTGAAATATGGAATCTAAAAACAAACAAACTCATAGAAAAAGAGATCAGACTTGTGGATCCCCGAGGCAGAGTTTGGGGGGAGGAGTTGGAGGAAGTTGGTCTAAAGTTACCAGACTTCCAGGTATAAGAAAGTGCTGGGGATATAGTGGACAACATGATAACGATAGCTAACATCACTGCATGATACATAGGAAAGTTGTTTTCCTAAGAGTTCTTATCATAAGGAAATATTTTTTTTTCTTTTTGTTCTCTTCTTATTGTATCTATTTGAGAAGGTGGATGTTAGCTAACCCTATGGTGATAATCATTTCACAGTATATGTAAGTCAAACAATTATGATGTATGCCTTAAACGTCTACAGTGACGTATGTCAATTATTTCTCAATAAAACTGTGGGGAGGGGGAGAAAGAAATGCATTGATAGCCCCATCTCCATAATCTGGTGTTGATGTCTGCAAATATGGTCCTTGACAATCATCAACCCTAATGGAAGGAAGAAGAGTCTTGGTGAAAGCCAGATGACCCAGTGACCATTTACATTTAACACTGCTGTGTAATTGTGGGTCTACCTCGGCAAGCTAACATTATGCCACACCACCTTTCTTCCTGTGGGACCTGAATGAAAGTCTTGGAGAGTAAATTTTTAGATGGCCATTTAGTGTTATTTAGTGGTTATTCTTGCTTAGTTAAGATATGTTTCTCTGAGCCCCTGTGAAGTAAAAGCAGCTGAATACCATTTCCAACTTAAGTTTTTACCTTAAACTTCTTGAGAGTTGAAAAGCTCTCACCAACACGTTGATCTAAACCTCAGACTTCAGAATAAAACACTTCAAGTGTTTTGGGGTTTTTTTGTTTGGGTTTTTGTTTTTGTTTTTTTAGCCTTCTTGACTCATGTTTACAGATTTCTTCAGCAATATCTTCTGGTTTATGGAGAAAAGATTTTAAACCTGCTGATTGAGAGCATTAAGGTTTATCCCCAGGAAAATGATGAGTGCCATGTATGGTTGGTGTATTAGTCGATCATCTTTGGTTGCAAGTGAAAGGATACATGAAGGGCTGGAACACTTTTAGGCTTCTGGAAGCCAGGGAAACCAGAATGCAGAACCAGAAAGCTCCAGATACCAGGAAGTATTTTTTCTTCATGTTTTCTGTCTCCATGTATCTATTTCCTTTTTCTATCTCTTAGCTTACTAACTGGCTTTACTTCTCAGACATCCTAATATAATGATAGAATAGGGCTACCACTTATTTCCCAAATTTACATGTTATCGTTCCTTCCACTTGTAAAGACTACTGGACTATCTTTTGTCCCGTTCTAAGTTCCTGGAGGAAAAGGATGAGGATTTAGGTCAGATGTCCACCCTGACATCTGGAACCTACTAACAGATGGTCACTTCCTGCGAGTAAGGCTGCTAGGGTCCCAGCTTTGTAAAAGAGGGGATAATTTGAGCCTCATGGACTGGAATTTCCTGTTACATACATGGTCTTTGAACTGTCTAGAGAGTTCCCAGCGCAGGAAAATCAGATTAGACTCATGCTAAAATTGTATGTTTTTTTTTAATTTGATTGATTGATATCACAAATGCATTGGTTTGACTGTTTTGTAGTATTACACTCTTGTTGCTAATACAAACGACAGATTACAGCTCCTTTCTCCATTCATTTAAAATGGAAATGGAAATGGCCTTGAACAATCATCAAGTGTTCATTTCAGATCAGTGATTGTCTGAACCCTTCAGGGGAGATATAAGCTCTCCTTAAAGAAATCCAGGAAAAGAAACTACAACCATTCTTTAGTGACCTATTCAACTTTTTTTTTTTTTTAATCATGCTTTGGCTTTGAAAACAGAGCTGTGTAATTTTAGGAACCTAGAATTAAATTATTGACCTAGTATAGACCCACCTCAACCAAACCAAATACAATGAAGGACTTTTCTATTCCTCAGCAACTTATAAAAATAAGGCCCATAATACTGGAACAACATGTACTTCTTTTTAGTTGCTTTCTGTTTCATACCACCAGTATCTTCTTTTTTTTTTTTTTTTTTAAGATTTTATTTATTTATTTGACAGAGAGAGAGATCACAAGTAGGCAGAGAGGCAGGAAGAGAGAGGGAAACAGGCTCCCTACTGAGCAGAGAGCCCGATGGAGGACTCGATCCCAGGACCCTGATATCATGACCTGAGCCGAAGGCAGCGGCTTAACCCACTGAGCCACCCAGGCACCCCCACCAGTATCTTCTTACTTATCTGTGTGACTGTGATATAGCTCTCAGGCCTTCGGAATAAGATTGAAATTTCAGCTGCTTAATCCCAAAGAAATAAATATCTCTGCCCTGTCTTGAAAGACTTTTAAAGAAGATTCTTCATCGTTTCCTCTACTGCCCACTGCCACATACTCCTGTGTTTGTCCACATTCTGTGTATAAGAAAATGAGGTGGCACCTTGAATTTGTTCTGATATGCCATGGATCATAGCTGGTGACTGAGCCAGGACCAGAATTCCTACTTTCTGATTTCCTGTCTGGTGCTCTTTTTGAACAGTCTTTCCCCCCACCCCTTTTCTTTACAATTTTATTTTAAGAGAGAGAGAAAAAGACCATGATTAGTGGGGAGGGGTACAGGGAGAGGGAGAAGCAGACTCCCTACTGAGTAGGGACACCTGCCATGGGGCTCAATCCCAGGACCCTGAGATCATGACCTGAGCCTACTGAGCCACCCAGGTGCCCCTGCACAGTCTTACAAGGAGAAAAGAATCAGGTTATGCTATTCAACTATAATTATTCCCATTTTAAAGATGAAAAAACTAAGATTCCAAGAGGTTAGGTATATTGCTTTGGTCATACTAGTAAGTAGTCTAACATAGTTAAGAGTAGTAATTATACAGCTGACTTCACACTTCAGAGCCAAGATTAGGATTTCTCTTGAATTTTAGTCTAATATTCCTCCCTTCAGAGGTGGTTGAGGGTTGAGATCACTCTTGAGGTCTGTGTGTCAGGGCACCGTGTCTGCCTCCCATCTATCCTGGTACACGGGCCTCCCTGTAGTGCTCAGTGCTTTGTTGCCCTTTTCCTGTGGACAGCCTGATGTCTGGGCATGCCCAGGAAAGCTTCACACAGAATCCATTTTGACCCAAATATCATGAACCCACCACTGTGTTTTCCTATGTCTCCTATCACTGATGCCGCCATTGCAATTAAGAAAGCTACACACAGGTTCAAATTTTAACCAGTGGCTTATACTTAAGTCTCAAATTCAAGTAGGTTAGATAGTTTTTTTATTTTGCTTTCAATCTAGGACAGAAAAAAGGCCAGTAGTAGAGAACAGGACATACATGTGGTCCAGAGAAGGTGTATTTGTAAATGGAAAGACAAACTGTAAATACTGGGTTGATAATAATTAACCTTTTCAACACATTGGTATTTCCAGAACTCCTGGGAAAATATTTACTGTATTTTCTCACAACTTGGCTTTTAAGCTTTCCAATAGTTCTCTGCCCAACCAAGAAATTTCCTCACCCTGATCTTCCCGTTTGTTTATTCAGTGAATATTTACTGAGTACTCGCCATGAGTTAGGCAGTCTAGATAACAGTTGTGAATGAGACAGACATAAATTACTAATTATAAGCATGATAAATGCTGTAGAGGGAAGTATAAGCTGCTATTAAATTATTAATAATAATGGGGGAGGGAGAAGAAAGTCAGAAGAGGCTTTCTGAGGGAATTCCTATATTATTCAGCTGAGCCTGAAGAATGAAGAAGAGATAGACAGGTAGGACAGGAGAATGGAAGGAAGCATTCCAGGCAAAGGGAAGAGCATGTCTGAACCCTCAGAGGCAAGTAAGAGCTTGTCTCCTTTGAGGAGCTAAGCAGCAGTCAGGCTCAGGAGGGTACTTCCCAGAGGAAAAGAGCCACATGTTGGAGAAGGAATTTCTTTTTCTTCTTAGAAATTATTGACTAAGAATTAATATTTCTGGAAAAAAATTATAATATTGCTGACCCATTGTTATTCCCATGGCATAAGAGAGAGAGTGGCCATGGTTCAAGGGTGGTGCTGTGGGGAGGAGTAGAAGCCAGTAGCTAAGAGGGAGGCTGGGGGAGGTGGGGAGGGTTCTGAGGTGACTCTGATTCTGGGGCTTCTATCTCCTCAGGCCTGAAGACCATTGTGGGTGCCCTAATCCAGTCAGTGAAGAAGCTGTCAGATGTGATGATTCTGACAGTGTTCTGCCTGAGTGTTTTTGCTTTGATTGGACTGCAGCTGTTCATGGGCAATCTGCGGAACAAGTGTGTTGTGTGGCCCATAAACTTCAACGAGAGCTATCTGGAAAATGGCACCAAAGGCTTTGATTGGGAAGAATATATCAACAATAAAAGTAGGTGGCCCCTTCTCTGCAAGGGGCGAAAGACAAGTCTGTCTCTAATTTACATGGTCTGAAGCCATCACTGGGCTTTGAAAAGTCGTTGGGGCCAGAAAGGAATCCAGGGCTACTGAAGCAGCCTGAGGAAGTTATTCCCTATTCTTGGGGTAGGATTGCGTTCAGAAGCGCTCTCTGGGCTTTTTCTCTTCCTTTAAAACACAACATGGAACTTTAAAACACACAGGCACCTAAACTTTTATTTTCAAAATCAGGCTTAGGAGTTTGATAAAAATACCTTTTGCTTAGGAATTTGATAAAAATACCTTGTAGTTGGGTTACCTCAGATGGTTCAGAATATGCCTCATAAGCTCTCTTCATATTACTAAGACCTTAGCAGTCAGTCCAGTGTGGGATGTCAGGTAATCTCTAAGTAACCATTTGAGCCCCTATATTGAAGAAGTTTTAATAATTTCATTTCGGGAACCACAGCACTTGGGTCTGCAGTAAGGAACATTTGGTATGGTAGTACTTCCAAAGAATAATGGGGAAGAGTTAGCAATATCACTACTCATCACCCTGGAGGAACTAAAGGCAGTTAAGTAGCCATAGGAAAGTGTTGCAAAGGTAATTTCAGGAACACGTATAGGAAAAGGAAACGTGCCTTCTAATTAATACAGGACAATGTAATGTGATCAGTGAGGGTTTTAGCTTATCTTTGGTAAAGAGAAGTTTTAAGGATAGAAGGCTAAGGTTGTATAGAGGAGTAAAGTGTTCAGAAAACTCCCTTTCAGACCCCTTAGACTGAAGTACCAGAAACTGGCATATAGATTTGAAATACGAGTGGAGGTCAAGGGTCTGTGAAAAGACATTGCATTACAGCTGTGTGGGAGCACTTTTCATTTGTAAGTATATATAAGAAAATAATTAATGGGAAAGAATTCTTAACAGGTCTTACTCTGTCAGGAAAGATTTATATGAGCTAAAATCAATGACTGTTTCTGCCGGGGCTAGTTAGGAACAGTGTAACCTTATTCTCTCATTCAGTTAAATCTGCCTTATTTATTTCTTGCTCTTCAAACTTTTCTAGCAAATTTTTACACAGTTCCTGGCATGCTGGAACCTTTGCTCTGCGGGAACAGTTCTGATGCTGGGTAAGTAGCTCGCCTAATTATATTCTTCTCCTTTAAAATAATGTGTCAGATGAAAATGGGGAGTATTTTCACTTTTCTTTGTGCTCGTGTAGTAGATACTAAGTGGGTCTGACATATTGGTTGGCTCAGATTTTCTTCTTGTTTCATATTTGTCCATCCAAATTTGGCATTTCTCTAGTAGGTGAATGTGCCTATAGTCTCAAGCCAAAATAAAAAATGTGAAAGGCTGAGGATAGAGTCTATAACACCAGATACCTTGCTTGTCTCTTGTAGACTCCCCTCATTCTGATTATAACATGATTAATAAAATATAAAGTAGGGAAACTGTCTTCATGATGAATTAGTAGCAAGGATGACCCAAAACATACCAGGCCTGATGGCATGGGAAGGGAACAGAATAGCAACATATTTTTCCATTTTTAAAAAGGATTTTATTTATTTATTTACTTACTTACTTACTTACTTATTTGAGAGAGAGAGAGAGAGTGCCCACAAGCAGGGGGAGGGGGATGAAGCAGGCTTCCCGCTGAGCATGGACCTGAAGTGGGGCTGGATCCCCAGACCCTGGGGTCATGACCTGAGCTGAAGGCAGCCGCTTAAACAACTGAGCACCCAGGTGTCTCTTTTTTTCCCCATTTTTAAGAAATCGTGGTAAAATATGTAGAGCATAAGACTTAGTCTTACAACCATTTTTAAGTGTCCTGTTCAGTGTTGTAGAACCGTCACCACCATCCATCCACCGCACTTTCCATCTTCCCAAACTGGGACTGTACCCATTAAACACTAACTTCCCATTTTCCCTTCCCCTCCCAGTCCCCTAGCAACCTCCGTTCCAGTTTCTGTCTCTGATTTTGATTGCTCTAAGTGCGTCTTGTAAGTGGATCATGCAGTCTTTTTGTGACTGGCCTCTTGCACTTTGCATGATGTCCTCAAGGTTTACCATGTGACAGCATATATCAGAATTTCCTTCCTTTTAAGGCAGAATGACATTCCATTGTCTGTATATGCCACATTTGTTTATCTATTCATCTGTCAACAGACACTCACGTTACTTCCATATCTTAGTTATTGTGAATAATGCTGCTATGAACACAAGTTTATAGCAACATAATGTCAATCTTAATTCTGCTACCTTTAGCTCTGAGACTTTCGGGAAGCCTTTCAACTTAGGTGAGCCTCAGTTTCTTCATCTATGAAATGGATTTAATATGTCTTGTTCTCACTTCCTCAAAGGTTTATTGTAATGATCCAATTAGATAACATACATGAAAGTGCTTTGTAAACAGAAAATTATATAAATGTAAGGGTGTCACTTTATCCAGAGTATATTGGTCCTCTAGGAATTAGTGTTTTAAGATGACTACGACAACTAGAAGTCCGTTTAATTTCTGTATCAAAGTAGATACTAGAAATTACATTGAAATAAATACCAGGTGAGTCTAAAAGCAGGAAAACTGATAAAACCAAAGTCACTGAAATCCCCAGTATGACTTAGGTTGTCATTAAGGTTGACTATTAAGAGAACAGATATGATTAAGAGGAACTTCTAGCTGGCCAAAAATTCCTGTCATTTGAGATCTTAGCTAAGATGAATTTGGTTGAATTGCACATTGATGTGAATGTAGGACAGTGATTCTCAAATTTTGGCATGCATAAACATCACCTGGCATGCCTCTTTAAAATGCAGATTCGTGACTACCATGTCCAGAGCTTTTATTCCTGGGTCTGATTAGGGCATAGGAATCAGCATTTTTAGGAGGCATGCCCAGTGATTTTGATCCTAGGCTCTTTTCAGAACGTCTTTTTTTTTTTAAGTTGACCTGACTAGGAATGCCTCAGTGGCTTATGCAGCTGAGTGTCTGCCTTTGGCTCAGGTCTTGATCTCGGGGTCGTGGGATCAAGTCCAGCATCCTGCTCCTTGCTTGGTAGGGAGCCTGCTCTCACTCTCCCTGTCACTCCCCCTGCTTGTGCTCTCTTTCCCTCTGGCAAATAAATAAAATCTTAAAAAAAAATAAAATTAAAAAGTTGACCTGACTACTTTCTTCTTTCTTTTCTTCCCTTCCCTTTCCTTCCTTCCCTTTAATTTCCTTTTCTTTTCCTTTCCTTTTCCTTCCTTCCCTTCCATTTCCTGCCTTCCTTCTTTCCTTCCTTCCTTCCTTCTCTGACTTTCTAGATGGTTACTTATTATCTCCACAGTCCTGGAGATGACTTAAAGTTGATGATTGGGTGGAATTATATTGAAAAACCCTGAACTTCCTTTCTTTTCTCAGGCAATGCCCAGAGGGATACCAGTGTATGAAAGCGGGAAGGAACCCCAACTACGGTTACACAAGCTTTGACACTTTCAGCTGGGCCTTCTTAGCATTATTTCGCCTTATGACCCAGGACTACTGGGAAAACTTGTATCAGTTGGTAAGTAGTAACACCTCTTCTTTTGAGTGCTGCCTTTTATTTCTTTGGTGACAGAATTCGCATGAGGGTTTGTGGGTTTGGAGACATTCTGTGTAAGAGACCTTCAGTGAAGATATTATATAGGATGGCAGGATGTTATTTCTCAGAGTCAGCCAGTTTACAAAATTCAGTGAATTCTCCCAGCTCTTGTCCCGGTTTCTTGAGTAACCAGTCACATATGGCCATAGAGGTTCACAGCCTTGACAGCCTTTTGCCTGGTCTGGGAATCTGCTATCTCTGTTTACTTCCTATTGTTCCAACAGACCACCTGCAGTATTTCTCTTCTCAGATTTTTGGCTGAGGGCATCTTTTTAAGGAATATCTATTAAACATACTGTACAAGGTGCTATACTAGACATAATAAAGATGAGATTTCTATCCACAAGGATCTTGGATTCTCAACGTATCAACATTTGTGAGATCTGTAACACATCTGAACTAGTTCAGGCAGGTTGTAACAGATTAAAAAAAAAGAAAGGTCTACCATTCTGTTGGGCTATCTTGGTGATTGTAGCAAGCAAGTCATTTAAATTTGCTGTTGGTGATGGAGAAGTAAGTCTAGGTGATTGCTAAGGGTCATCCAGCTTAGAAATTCCATGATAATTCATTGTTTTCTATTTGACTCTGTCTTTTGGTGATGCCAGTTTGAGAATGAGAAACATGTCTTGCTTAGACATGAAGGACCTCTTGAAGGGAAGCTTCTAATTTTCAGATCCCATAAGGAATCCTTGCTTTCTGTTGGATAGCCTTGAGTTCTCTTAGGTTCCAGTCTTTCTCTTGAAATATTTGTGGTCAATGCTAAGTTCCATTAAATAATTGTGATTAAAAAGAATAACACTGAAAACTAAGTAATAGTGGGTCACGTATACATAACCTAAAACCCAAGTGTTCTTTGATGTCTGTTTGCTCACTACTAGTGAAGGGGATAGTCCTAGGATCTTATTTTTCTCTACTGTTCTTTATGCCCCTTTAAAAATCCACCCTATTACAGAAGGATAAGGAAGGATGTCACTCAAGATGGGGACTTTTTGTGACTTGGACCTGATTCCTAAGATGGAATTTGTCTATTAATGCTCTTTGAGGACCCGTAGATAAATGAGCTGAAGTCTTTTCTTTATACTTGTTTTAGAACCAACTAACAAAGTCAAATATAATTCTTAGCTCAGAGCATTTTTTCCTTTAAAAAAAAGGAATCAAGTATTTTTCCATGAAAGGAGTATATTGGGAGTATTTGGAAATGAAGATAATTTTTTCTGTCACAATGAATGGGAGGTACTAGTGACATTTACTCTTGAGTTGAGGACAGACAAAGCCATTTGGCCATTGGGATGCTAAGTGCTCTGCAGCATGAAGGCTCACCACGCAGTAAAGGACTGTTCTCAAAACACAGCGGTGCCCCTGCAGGGGATCATTATCCCACGAGTGGTTTTCAGCCTGCTTCACTGGATGCACATGACTCAGAAAATTGTTTCTGTCTTTACAGACCTTACGAGCAGCTGGGAAAACATACATGATATTCTTCGTCTTGGTCATCTTTGTGGGTTCTTTCTATCTCGTGAACTTGATCTTGGCTGTGGTGGCCATGGCTTATGAAGAGCAGAATCAGGCAACACTGGAGGAGGCAGAGCAGAAAGAGGCTGAATTCAAAGCAATGTTGGAGCAACTTAAGAAGCAACAGGAAGAGGCACAGGTTGGGGATCAGTTCTTTGCTACAGTAACTTCCTGCCAGATCACGGTGACTAAGGCTCCATCTGATTGTCATTCCAGTTGATCTTTTTTAGGCACATGGTCAAATAGAAGTCATTAATCTGATTAAAATAACCCAAGTAACAACTTGCAGATGGTTGGTCCAGTTACTCCATTTGTCTTAGTGGCCCAATTGTTTGTTAATATGATCTCTAGTGTTCACTGCTCTGGTGGCTGGGGGACGACAAGTGGCCAGAGCAGGGTATATAGTGTCTCATGTAAGCACAGCCTTTTTGTTGAGGAAATCATTAGGATCTCCTTCAGAGATTCTCTGCAGTCATGAAAGTATTGGTTGTACTTGAAAAGAAGACACATGTAAAATGGTAACATAAGATTTCAAAAACAGACTAGTGATCCCACCACCCTAACACTTTGCTGTCTGATCCTTATCCAGATATACAAGTGTTTTTATACTGTTGGGCGTGTAATGTATAATATAGTTTCACAGCATTCATCTTCAGAGTTGCCCAAAAGAAATCTTGTGGTACCAAGAAGGCAGCTAAGTTCTTGTGTGAGAAACTCAAGAGAATAAATGCCAGAGTTCTCACCACTGGTTTCTGCTCTGATTGCCTAAGGCCATGTGCCACAACACAGATTAGCCAGAAAATGGAGATGGCAGATCCTCGCCACAGTCTCCTCTGCAGGCTGCTTCGCCTTCCTCCTTCCCTCTGTTTCCCCCATCTGTGGGAAAGGAAATGATCCTCACTAGTTGCTTGGCTTGGGGTGGAGGTGGGAGGCTCCAGTTAACTGCTTCTGACTGGCCTGTCACTGTGGCTCCTCCCCTAGGCCGCTGCCATGGCCACCTCCGCAGGCACTGTCTCAGAAGATGCCATCGAGGAAGAAGGTGAAGAAGGGGCAGGCTCTCCTCGCAGCTCCTCTGAAATATCGAAACTCAGTTCCAAGAGTGCCAAAGAAAGGCGTAACAGGAGGAAGAAGAGGAAGCAGAAGGAACTCTCTGAAGGAGAGGAAAAGGGGGATCCTGAGAAGGTGTTTAAGTCAGAGTCAGAAGATGGTATGAGGAGGAAAGGCTTTCGGCTGCCAGACAACAGAATAGGGAGGAAATTTTCCATCATGAATCAGGTAAACTCTTTGCACGGGATCAAATAAACCTAAGGAATTCTACTTTTCCTAATCTCACTTGATTCTCACATTCACCATTGGCTCTTCATTTTTGAGCCCCTTCTCTGCATCCTCTGGCCTACCTCTCCATAGAGGTAGGTGTTACAGGCATGTTAGGATGGTCCTCTGCTCCAAGGCTGCCCCCTGCAACCCCCAGGCTGACCCTTGGACCACGTGATCGCCTATGGCAGACTTACTTTAGCCAGAAGATCTATGTCACTCCAGTGGGCCTTCCATTCTAAAACTTCAGGAAGCACCTTTCTCCTTAAATAAAGCTCAGAACAGCAGAATTTAGCTTTCAAACATCTCTGCTTAAGAACTGCATGTTTAAAAAAAAAAAGAAGAAGAAGAAGAACTGCATGTAATTGTAGGTTAAAAAAAAAAAGAGTCCTGAAACTCTTTAGGTCACCTTATTTGAGTGTGGCAAATTCTAGTAATTAATTATTCTAGGTATATGGTGTCATGCTGATAAATTAGCCTATGGTGGATTAAAGCCTCCAGTTGTAGCCAACTTTGATAAATGGGGAAACTAAGAGGAAGAGAGAGGAGAGGACTTATGGATAATTACTGAGCATTCTGTTACTATAAATATCACCACATAACACCTATTTTTGGATTTCAAAGAACACCACCGAAATCCAGTTCTTAGTCCATTTAATTCCCCATTTTAAGGAAATGCTAGAAAGTTTGTAAGGTGTAGAGTAGATTACAGTTACCAGTTTTATGGTAGTGTACCCAGTGTCTCTTCTTATTTCCAGGAGATGCTTCATTGTGCCTCTCCCTGGTATCTCTCACTTCCCAGTTCATTCTCTGCTAGTCCTGTTTACTTTATCACAGCAGAATCTCTCGTGTCATCCCCTTCCTTCTATCCTATTATTCCTATCTTAGTTGAGACCTTTGTATTTTTCATTCTCCTGCAGTTAGCTACTGCATGTTTGTTTCCTCTGATCTTTCTCCCTCTCCTTCATGTTTTCTATACCGTTGACAGAGCGCTTCTTAGTAAAACAGAGCTCTCATTATTTACCCCCAAGAAGTCATGGAGTACCTGCCATGCACTGGGGATTTGACATTTCCTAGAGATTCATGGGGGTTCAAACACCATCGCTGTAGTGGAGTGGCCACTGAAATTTATTTCTGTAATAGCATCGATGGTTCCATATTGTTCCGTAATTGCACTAGGCTGGAGTATTTTAGAGAGCACAGATCTAACACAGCTAAATAGGAATTAGTCAGGTAATGTATGCATGTGTTGGTGAGGGAGCAGGAGGACAGAAGAAAAGACATTCCAGATTTGGAAGAAAGTAACTTCCGGTGTGGACACCCCAAGCTTGAATCACAAGTAGAGTGGTCTTTTAGACACACACATAGGCAAATGATGGCTTCTGTAAGAGGTCCTGAGGTGAGAGATGGTGGTTGGAACTGTTAGACTTGATGAGATACTCAAAGAGGTTGTGTGAGGTAAAGAAAGGAATGGTGGGCTAGAGGCACAACCACAGATATCCATGGGCATCAGAGATGAAGCTCATGCAGGAAAACAAATGAATGGTTATTAGAGGTGCTGAGAGCCAGTTCAGTGAAGCCCAGGGAGCAGAAAGGTTGGAGAAAGCAGGGGAGTGATCAGTGGATTGAAATTTAACAGAAAGGCGTCATGAGCTCAGAATTGGAAATATGTACTGGATTTGGCAGTATAAGTCCTTGAGAACTTCAAAGACACATTTCAATCTAGGAGAAGGATGGATACCATATGGAAGTGGAATGGGAAGTGAAGACAGTGAGTGTAGACTTCTCATACAGACTTCTTTAAAGAATATGTGGGAAATTATTTTTATAATCTGGGTGGGGAGCCCAGAGGAAGGGGAAGTAGAGGTAGAAAATGGAGTAGTACAGAAAAGAAGTGGAGCATAGGCTTAGCAGATGTGAAAATAGATGTAGTCTTTAATAGGAAAGGGGCCCCTCATCCCCAGATGTCAGGATTATAGGGGAGGGTGGGTGTAGATAAGTTTGTAGGTAGGAGGTAGGAATTTGAGGAAGATGACACTGGACAGTATCTAGTGTACAGTAATACAGGAAATTCAAAGTCCTACCGAAGGGAGTGAGAGATTGAGTAGGAGGTTTAAAGAAAATATTGACAGTGTAGAATAGTTATCACGAAGAATGGGAGAGGGAATTACCTAATCAGATTCACTCTGTCTACTGATGAAGGGCCAGCCTCTCCTGGCCTCAGCCCCCAGTCACTGTGCCCTGTCAGGCACCCTGCACTTACACCAGAATGAACTGCTAGATGCTTCTCATATACGAGGTTTGTTTCCTACCCTCGGTTTTGCTCCAGAAAGCCCCTCTCTAAGATGTCCTACTTTTCTCTCTCTCTCAATGTCCACACCATACCACCATATTTACTCTTCATATCCTTCTCTCAGAAAACCTTCTCGATCTCCCCCATTCCACACTTCGTTGGACATTACCATTTCATCTTTCCATTATGTTTTATACATACCTTATGTGTTGCTCTTTACTCTGCTTGGACTCGCATTCTTCCTCTCTTAAACAAAGTGCTCAAGGCAGGGCCTGCATATGGCTAGCGTTCAGATATTTGTTGGACAAATGAAGGGGGGAGTTTTATAAATCTGATTTCACCCCTTCTGGGACTTCTTTGTGGCCTGGAACCAGCTCTCCATCTCACCTTCACCTCACCTTTCTCATAATTCAGCCTCTTTTGGGGAAAAGTGTGATTCAGCTTTGTTGTCAGCCACCCCTTGTCTTGAGAGCCATCACTGAGCTAGTTAATGAATACCTTAGTGCGGTTATTGAATGGTCTCTGATTAATCTATAGGCTTTAGCACAGAGTTGCACTGATTACTCCCTAGCTCAAAAAATAAAACTGGGCCTCTGAAATGTCCTGCTTTGCATGAAAATGTTCACTTCCTCTCATTTCTCCATCTGAAAAAAACTGTAGATTCCTAGAGGCCATGGCTGTCTGCCAAGACTTGCTGAGAAACCCCACATGGAAGTCATATTCTTTGTCCCAGGACTCTTCTGCCATTTCTCTGGTTTTATCTGGAAGAATGAGGAAACTGAGGCCCAGAGAGATTAACTAACTCATCTAAGGTCGTGTGGCTAGTAGATGTTAGAGTCCGGATTTGAACCAGGTCCTTCAGACCGCAGAGCTTGTACTCCTGAACACTACGGTTTGTAGCCACCCCTCCCCACTCACCCCCACACATACACCCCTCCCCACTCACCTCCACACGTACACCCCTCCCCAGTCACCTCCACACATACATGACTATCTCTTGTTGGCTCATCAGCGAACGTGGCTTCCATTTCCCATGGCCTGTTCAAGTGTATGTCCATTTCCTTTATGTCCATATCTTCAGAGAGCCCCTTAAGTCATCTGCCTACCCCATCTCCTATTCAGTTCTCTATAAAATTACTGCTATGGTTTTAGGGCTTAGGACAGTTCATGAAAAGTAAGTATTATCAGTTTTTCATAGTATTTTAATTTTTCCACTGCAGCATTTCTCAAGTTTTTTGATCTTAGGACCCCTTGCTATCCTTAAAAATTGAGGACCTTGGGGCACCTGGGTGGTGTGGTCAATTGATTGCCCAAAGTTTGGTTTCACCTCAGGTTGTGATCTCAGGGTTATGGGCTCGAGCCTTGTGTCCAGTTCAGCACGAAGTCTACTTAAGACTCTCTCTCTCTCTTGCTCCCCCTCTATGCCTCCCCCTCATATTTTCTTGCTTGCTCACTCTCTTTAAAACAAATAAATCTTTTAAAAATAAATAAATAAAAATCCTTTGCTGTGTTAGCACCATAGATCTTTAACTCATGAATGATTTGTAGTATCCTGCATTTGGAAAATAGATGGGATCATCTGGGAAATACTGGTTCACAGTTACACAGATCTTCCAAGTACTGACACACAGTATTTAAAAATCGCATAAATTATTATCATGACCAGCTCATCAGAAAAGTCTAAATACTGTGAAACTGTCAGGCTCTCAGAGTCTACTCTATACTTATGAGAAAATGAAAGTGAGAAAGGCAGATATCATTTTAGTATTATTGTGAAATAGTTTTGACCTCTTGAGCCCCCTTAAAAGGATCACAGGACCCCTAGGAGTCCCTAGACCACACTTTGAGAATAACTGCTGTTTGGGGAAGAAAAAGTGAAGTGAAGAAAAAGTGAAATATGACATGACAGAGAACATTTAAATCACAATTTATCCCATCCTAATCGTCCCAGTCGCTGTAAGCCTTGTCCCAACAGACGGCTGACATGGGTGCCCTAAAATCCTCAGTTAGTTTTTCTGTGGGAAAATAGAAGGGCCACCTCCTCAAATCAAGAACACCCTTGAGCTATTCTCCCAAGCAAACGCCTGGACCTTGGGTAGTATATTTAGGGAGCTGTGATGTGCCTGCTTGAAAAGGACCAGAAGCTCCTGATGGGTGAATGGCTAAGACCCACGCATCTATAGCGTGGATCCCAGGAGCTAGTAGAGTTCAGGGTCCTGAGTCATCACTGAAACCCTCCAGCCCAGGGATGGTGAGACTGAGGAGAGGCTGGGGTGGCTAACCTCAGGATGTATTTCCTTGGAGAATAGACTAGAGCAGGATTGAATGCTGGGTCCAAGGAGAGGTGCTACGAATTCTCTTTTCCCCTCCCACACTTATCACAGGCAACCCTTTCGCCAAGAATGGAACAGGGGATTAAAGAATAATAGATTATTTTCTTTTAGCGTTATTGTCTCAGGATCCTGATTTCTATGCATTTGTAGGTCGCTGAATTGATCATTATCTTACTTATCACTTTCCTATCAGTTAGGAATAGATCTCATATAGTATATGTATTTCTGACTAGGCTGCAAGGTGCAAGAAGGCGGGAACCGTGCTGTATGTCTTCTTTATGACTGTATCTACATCACTTAGTACACACTAGGTATTTAATGATCATTTGTCAAATAAATGAAACCTCTTTCCTAATGTGGAGACCTAATGTACTGTGTAGTGTCAGCAGCCAGCATTGGCTTAATGCAAAATCCAGGAAAGTGAACTTCTATGAAAAGTGAGGCAGTGACCCAGTGCAGGTGTGGGGTAATGCCCAGGTGTGGGTGGCCAGTTTACAGCATATAATCTAAATACATGTTCATGAAATTGAACACTGCACCTACGATATTCAAAGCCTTCCAGGAGATAAAAAGATGAATCAGGCAGTGTGTCCTTAAAGAGCCTGTAGTTGGCTAAAAAGGGGAGCTCAAAGCAGGTATATAAAGAACTTTAGTTAAAAGTAGAGTGCAAGGGCTCTGAAACAGAGGCTGTGGAAGGGTGGAGGAGGTTTACAGAGGAAGAAGCTGAAGGGCTGGACCATGGACAGTGGCGAGGAGTTCCGCAGCGGGAAGTGTAGAGCATACAGACCCGCAGGCAGTGTGGCTCCGTGGTTGGGTCTCTGCAGGGAAAGAGTGAAAGATAAAATGGAAGAAGTTAGTTACAGTCAAAGCTGGGAGGATCTTGAAGGACATTTTTAGGACAATGATTGATGATATTAAGTGCGCTCATGGGATTTAGCGAAGGCACCCAAGAGTTACTGAGTCTTGTTTTGTCCTGACCATATTTCTCCCTAGTGAGCCCTGCAAGGGAGATACATATGCCCAAGGCACTGTTACTAACATCTATCACAGAACCTCAGAACCTTACACTGAACTGAACACATGGGTAGAAGCTCAAAGATATTTCCTATCCCCCTACCCCGCCATCCAATCTTGGGATCTTACTGTATTTTTTTTTTTTTTTTTAGATTTTATTTATTCATTTGAGAGAGAGAGAGACAGAAAGAGCATGAATGAGGCAGAGGCAGAGGGAGAGGGAGAAGCAGACTCCTTGCTGAGCCTGGGGCCTGAGGACATGGGCCTCAGTCACAGGACCTGGAGATCATGACCTGAGCCACCCAGGTGCCCCAAGGGATCTTATTGTCTTAATCATTGTTTTAATTTTCTGTGTATTATGATGCTTTGACATTTTAGGAGCCTTGCTAACTGGGGAGAGACTGCTCCTCCCAGTGCAAACTTAATTCCTAGACAATGAACAACTTGTCTGAAAGTGCGCCTTTCATATACAAATCAACCAATCCAAACCCTCAGCCCCAACTTTTTATCTAACGCTCACACATCAAGACACACAAAACCAGTGTTTCCTCTGCCCTCAGTCACTCTGAGGGCCAGGTATTGGACAGCTAGGACCACTTCTATAGACCAGAGCCTGCTGAAATTACTCAAACCACCTGATCCTAAACTTGTCAGATATGCCTACTCTGCCTCAGCCATTCCTTCTGAGGAAACCATCAAGCAGGCTCTGAACCATGCTTTTTCCCTGCTCCTTTTGCCTCCTAACTGACCCTAGTACCTCCCCATGAGGTCCTGCCTGGCATGGCATGGCATGTCCCCTTCTTTTGAGAGCTGTAAGTAATAAACTCCTCCAAAGGTAGCTGTCTGTGTGTCTATCACCTTACCATTTCTCATTAGAACAAAAAAGGTACAATAGCAAGGTTTTGCCTTTGGCATAGCACATCGCCCTGAGGTATAAAAATTTAGGGGATGGGGATGCCTGGGTGGCTCAGTTGGTTGGACGACTGCCTTTGGCTCAGGTCATGATTCCGGAGTGCCGGGATCGAGTCCCGCATCGGGCTCCCAGCTCCACGGGGAGTCTGCTTCTCCCTCTGACCTTCTCCTCGCTCATGTTCTCTCTCACTGTCTCTCTCTCAAATAAATAAATAAAATCTTTAAAAAAAAATTTAGGGGATGCCAGTCAAGGGACAATTGGAAACATTAGTGTCGGGGCACCTGGGTTGCTCAGTGGGTTAAGCCTCTGCCTTTAGCTCAGGTCATGATCTCAGGGTGCTGGGATCTAGCCCCAAATTGGGCTCTTTGCACAGTGGTGAGCCTACTTGCCCCCTCCCTCTGCCTGCCTTTCTGCCTACTTGTGATCTCTCTCTCTCTGTCAAATAAATAAATAAAATCTTAAAAAAAAAAAAAAAAGAAAACAGTATCTTTAAGTTTTCTTAAACCCAGGAAATTTAAATCCATTGTAAGGCTTTCTGAATTTACCTATCTTATAATCAGGGCCTTTGGGGATTTTAAATTCAGGAGTGGGGTAGATGTCACTTGGTTACATATTAGTATATTTATTAAAAAAAAGAAAAATAAGTTCATAATTTCTCAATTAAGAGAAGTCTGATTTGGCCAATTGCTTTGACAATGAGAACTGGCTTTGCTAACCTATATCATATGGTAGACATTTTTGTAAATAAAATGAGCTGAATCTTTAGCTTTAAGGTTTTGGTGAAAATATCTTTAAAGCATGTAGTAAGATAAAATTATTTTATTAAAAAATTAATGTTGGAAAAAAATTAACAGTGGCAGTGATGTATTAAAATTAATGATATTTTGATTATTCCAACCATTTCTTTTGGGTTAAATAAGGTTCCTCTAAGTAAAAGAATAACCTCTTTAAGAGTAACCCATATTTTTATTAGTAAATAAAAATGAAGCCTTTTTGGCATCCTCAGAAATCAAGAAATGGAATACTTCTAACAAATAGGTAACAAATCATTTGGCAGATTGGGTGGTTTGCAGTTCTTTGCTTTCAATAAAGTTGAAAAACTACCCGATATGATTGTCAGCCAGTAGATCATTAGGATAAATTTTGCTGATAGCTTATTATGTGATTCTGGTATATCATTTGAAAGGAGATGGAAGAATTGGGTGACATTACTGTAACCAAATTCTTCTGTTCCAAGATACTATTTATGTGAATAGAGTTTCTCAGCACTTAAAATCTATATTAGATAGGGAAGGGAGAGCTGATGTTGAGCCATATTTGATTCTAATAATAATACTGTCTACAAATATTTCATCACCAAAAACACCAATTGGAAAAGAACTCATTAAGAGACACATTTTAATAAAATTTTCTTTTAAGCTTAGTAATTACTTATAAAATGTATAATATCTGTATATATCTTGATCAGTTTTATTAATAAGAATTATAATTAAAAAAATCTGAGAATTTTTTAAAAATTCTAAGAGACTCATGGTCACAGAAAATTTTTAATTTTAAGTACAGTTTATAACTTTTTGTTGAAAATTGTTGATCAAAGGTGATCAATAAAATATAGTAAAGCATAAAAAATATACGTTAGCATACAATTCTCTAGGGAATGTGGAATTGGAAGTATGGGTTGAAAGAGAAAAAGAAATGAGGAGAAATTTGTGAGTGATAAATAAAAGTTTTATTTTAAAATGTCAGTGCAGGGGCACCTGGGTGGCTCGGTCAGTTGAGCATCTACCTTCCATTCAAGTCATGATCGTGGAGTCCTGGGATTGAGATCAAGCCCCACATCAGGCTCCGTGTTCTCTTCTCACCCTGCTTGTGCTCTCTCACCCTCTCTCTCTCTCTGTCTCAAATAAATAGATAAAATCTTAAAAATAATAATAATTAAAAAATAAATAAAATGTCAGTGCAGGGAGAACCTGGGTGACTCAGTTGGTTAAGCACTGACTCTTGATCTCAGCTCAGGTCTTGATCTCAGGGTTGTGAGTTCAAGCCCTCAGTTGGGCTCCACACTGCTTGTGAAATGTACATAAATAAATAGTGCTGGGAATTTTATAATTTAAAAATAATAAAACTTTTGATGGGGGCACCTGGGTGGCTTTGTCCATTAAGCATTATCCCAGGTCATTGGCTTTGGCTTAGGTCATTATCCCAGGTCCTGGGATGGAGCCCACATTGGGCTTCCTGCTCACTGGGGAGTCTGCTTTACCCTCTCCTTCAACCCCCCTTCCATCATGCTCTTTCTCTCTCTCTCTCTTGCTCTGCACTCTCTCTAAGTTTTTTTTTTTTTAATTAACTTTTGATGAAAAAAATGTTGACTTTAAAATGGAGTCAGAGGGAACATACATAATAGTTAACTGAACAAAAAAAATACTCCAGGGCCACAGTTGGCCTAGGTAGGACTTACGGTCAGGGCATGTACTCATTGAGAGAATAGCGAGCGATCGAGCACTTTAACATTCTCTCCTTTTTGCCAAGTGGGGCATGGAGGCTCTCTTGAGTAAATGAGCTCATAGTAATGGGAAATAGACACAACATGTGTTTCCTGGTGCATTAGACTCTACATGGAGCTCGAGATAAAAGCATCGTTGCAATGCACCGGTGAACAGTGAGTAGAAATTTTGTATGGTTAGCTGGTCAAAGACCTACACATCGCAAGGCGATGGGGCAAGAAGCGAGCGCATATGGGTGTTGAGTCCTACTAGGAACACAACATCCAGAAGTGCTTTCTGGGAACACTTGTGTTCTGATAGCAGGAATGCAAAGCTAGGGCCAGGTTGGGGAGGCCAACAGCCTCAGCTCAGCCAGTGCGGGGTGCGCTTCCCGTCTCACACCTGTCTGTGTCTTTTTCTGTCTCCCTGCCCCTGCAGTCCCTGCTCAGCATCCCGGGCTCCCCGTTCCTCTCCCGGCACAACAGCAAAAGCAGCATCTTCAGCTTCAGGGGGCCCGGGCGCTTCCGCGACCCGGGCTCGGAGAACGAGTTCGCGGACGACGAGCACAGCACGGTGGAGGAGAGCGAGGGCCGCCGGGACTCGCTCTTCATCCCGATCCGGGCCCGCGAGCGCCGCAGCAGCTACAGCGGCTACAGCGGCTACAGCCAGGGCAGCCGCTCGTCGCGCATCTTCCCCAGCCTGCGGCGCAGCGTGAAGCGCAACAGCACGGTCGACTGCAACGGCGTGGTGTCCCTCATCGGTGGCCCCGGCTCGCACATCGGCGGGCGGCTCCTGCCAGAGGTGAAAATAGATAAGGCAGCTACCGACGACAGTGTAAGGAAGTAAACGCATAGACCGAGGCTAGGCATGGCAGTCTCTCCCGCGCCCTCCTCTCTTCTCTCCCGCTGGCCTCTGGCTCCCACGCTCCCTCCCCCACTCTCAAGTCTCTGTCCCCACCAGCGCCGCCCGCTTCTGTCCTCTCCCTCCTGCTCTGTTTCTGTTTCTCTCTTCCGCCCCTCCTTTTCCCATTCACTTTAATCCCTGCTCTGTCCACCCCCGCCTCCTTCTCCCTGTTTCTATTGCCCTACCCCATCAGCTCCTTGCTTTCTTTTACCTCCTTTTCTTTCTCTCCATCTTTGCAAGTCTTTAGTAGCCTACTGTTTCCCTCTCCCCACCTGCTCTCACTGAATGCCTCTGGCCAGCGGATCCTGCCCTGATGGAATGAGAATTGCCACCACCAATGACCAAGTCTGAGCCGGTTTGGAACTACCATTGCTTCTCTCCCTCCCACCTCCTGTCCCCATAGGGAAACAGCCTGGAATTTAAAGCTCTGATCTTTCTGTTAAAAAACAACAACAATATAGCTCAGAATAATTTTCCAAGACTCCTCTGTAAGAAGGAGGTGTGATTTTTCCAAAGAGGAAGGTGGATGCCTGGTGTGGCAAGCACGAGGTGTGCACCAGGGAAAGCCAGGCAAGGAGAGGTTAGGGAAGCCAGTGCAGAACTGGAGCTTGAAATGGAAATAAAGGAGGGAAAAGTGGGAGGTTGGGGCAAGAACACATGGTGTATGGGGGAGGAAGGAAAAGGGAAGCGAAAGATGAATTTTAAATGTAATCAAATGTCAGGCTCTGGAGGAGCTGCATATAATAGCTTCATAAAATCACTTGTCTAGGGGGTTGGCTAATGGCTCCCCTCTTTGGGAAAAGCCATCTCTTCACATTTCTTTAAATTCTAAGCTGTTTATACCTTTTTTTTCTAGTTTCAAATTCTTATAACCTCAGCGATCCTAATCCTCTGTGCCTCTAACTCCCTAACTTCCCTCAGTCCTTCCTTAGCTGGCATAAGCTCCTTGAGACAGCATGCCAGTCCGTTTTGTTCTAACACTTCAGTTTCCTCTAACACAGCACGGAGACAGCCCATCCTCTAATTAGCATGATGCATGCGTGGAGGAGAACCGGACAGTCAAGGCTGGAATTATCCCAGTGATCTGTTTGAAACATTTCAGGACAGTTGTTGACTGTACAGATAAAAACTCAAAGGCACTTAGGATGTGTTTGACATTGTCTTTTCTCTCCTGCCTTTTAATTTAATAGCACAATACCCCCCCTCACACACACGTGTTTGTTTAGCGCTTTATAAGCTACAAATTACTTTTACGTTCATTATTTAATTTGCTCTGAATAAAAATTTTCCGTAAGGCTGACCAAGTGGAGGGCATTATTCCTGATTCTAGATGGGGAAGTAGGGCTCAGAGGATTTGGGCTCTTTGAGGTCCTACAGCTCATTGTTGATAGAGCCAGAGTCTTAGGGAAAAAATCAGTCTTCTCTTTTTCAGTGAATTTTAATGCCTTCTTTGTTTAGTCATGTGGCCATTTTTCTTCTGGAAAACTGTTTCTTTAATATCAACTATAATAGGAACAATAATAATAACAAATAGTGGTTCCAGAATCCCCCCAAAACCAGATAGTTGGCCAAAATAGATGTTACAGATGATTATCTTTCCTTTAAATATAATTTTGGATTGTCCCTAATTCTATATCTAGAGGTAAATTTTTAGGCTCCATAATTAGACAGTTATATTCTCTGAAAAAGCAAGAAATTATATCAGTAGAGAATGAGGGGTGGGTCAGCATGGACAGTATGGTTTGGGCAACTCAAATATTAAGAACCAAATTAAAATTTGATATTCTGGCCGCTTTTTTAAACACTTCGGCCAAATAACACATCTTGCTTTTTCTTTGAAAAGAAGGTATTAGAAAAGGTATCCAGAAAGGAAGAGATTGAACTTCAGCTGAAGGCAGATAAGCACGTCTGCTCATTGGTTTTGTTTTGGGGTTTTTTTGCTGCTTCTGTTATAATGTGTGGGGGAGAAATTTGAGAGACAGTTGAGCAGATGGCTGTCCGCACCGCCTCACATCGTAGCCTGCGGAGTGCTGTCTTTGGGTTTTGGGGGGCCTGCACACACAACACCCTATAAGGACTTAGGGGATTCATTCCAGTGGTCCCAAGCAATGATGGTGATAGTTTTGAGGATTCCCAAGGCCAGGAGGGCAGATCCCAGAGTGGCAGGATATGAGGTAGGCAGGACTGTTTCATTCCCAAAGCCTTCATAACTAGGAAAAGCTATTTCATTAGAAGCCATAAAGAAGCACTTCCTAGCTACTAATGGTGTGGCAGTCTACGTAAGTTATAGTAATAGGCCAAAAAGATAAAACAAAAACAAAGAAGACTGCATAGAGCTTGTGTATAGGGTTTGGTATGATATCAGATCTATGGAAAGACTGCCTACAGAGAAAGGATGACTGACTCGAAGTTAACAGTAGTTTCCTTTGGGAGGGGACATTATAGGTGACTTTTTTTCTTCCTCACACTTTTCTGTTTTCAGTTTTCTACAATGGACATAATAATTATAGCCACCATATATTGGGTTCTTGCTATAGTTACGCTCAGCACTTTATATGCATTTAATTTCTTATAACCGTTGTGTTCGGTAGGTGGTTTTATCCTATTAACAGGTGAGGTTCGGAGCCTTAGTGACTTGTGGAAATGGAGCTTGAACCAAGGTCTTCCCACTGTCAAAGAGAACTTCCTGGATGCTTGAATATTAGCTTCTTTGGGAAGTGGGGAAAAACATGTATCATTTATCTTAGAGGGAGGCAATAGATTCCTGTTATATGCAGCCCAGGCCAGAGGAGCGGCGAATACCACTATCGGCCAGGATGGAGCGGTTCTCACTGTTCAGACATTTGGGATGAGTCCCCAGTGGATTAACTTGCCTTCACCTGAACCACTAGAGTGCTTCCATGGTATGCTCATGCTTTGTGGGGTTGCATAGGAGCTGCTGAGGACCTCAAGCTGGCCTCACTCAGGACTGATGCTTAGGCTATGCCACATCCCTATTTTTTCCTCACACTCAAGGAATGTAATATTCTCAGGGCGCCTGAGTGGCTCAGTTGATTAAGCATCTGACTCTTGATTTTGGTTCAGGTCATGATCTAAGGGTCCTGAGATCGAGACCCACATTGGTCTCCACGCTCAGCAGGGAATCTGCTTCTCTCCCACTCCCTCTGCCCCTCTCTCTGCTTGTGCACACATGCGCTCTCTCTCTCAAATAAATGAATCTTTAAAAAAAGGAAAGAAAGAAAAAATATATATAATATTCTCTGTGGAAAAAAGATATCTGGGCATCACTCATTAGAGTTTCATCAGAAATGATTTCACCTGTTCATTAGTTATTCAGTTATGATTGGTGATTATTTTTCAGTAGTTTGGGAATTTTCACTTTTGCTTTTTGTTGAAGCAGAGGGTGAGGGGACATTCCCATGTCTTCATCCCTAAGCTGGAAAAGTAGGTGAGAATCTCATCACTCATAGAGAAAGCAGGTGCTGCTGACAAATCCAGAAATCCCAAGTAACTCAGAAATCATTTTGTGCTAGCTTGCAAATACACATGCACTATCTCATCTAAAGCTCACAGCCAATAGATCCTACTCTTGTGTGCATTTCACTGAGGAGGGTTCTCTAAACCAAGGCTTAGAGAAATAAAATGACTTGTCCAACATCACACAGTATGTGGTAGGCTCAGGGCTTGAACACAGGCAGTCTGACTCCAGAGCCCTGGCCAGTAATCAGTGCCCCACACCAACTCTGAAGCCCAGGTTTATTTACTGATGTGATCCTGGGAAATTAACATCACCACTCTAAGCCCATTTCCTTATCTGCAAAAAAGAAACAAAAGGACCTGTGCTATAGGGCTGTTGCAAAGATGAAATGTAATAACATTTATAAACTGTGAAGCATGTTATTTGGCCCACTCTTGGTGTTCAGAAGGCCAGTTTCCATTTATTTCCCTATACTTTTGTGGCCTTCTTAGCCCTGAGAAGTAGACATTAGGATTTCTCCTGAATTGCTTGACTTGGCGAGGGTTGCATTCCTCTAAAATCCTAAAGAACCTTTGAGAAGAAGCAATTATTGGGAAATTATTTTAAAGCAGATTACTACAAAAATTTGAGGAAGGCTTAAACGGGAAATAAATGGCTAGGTTCTAAAGCTACTTCTAAACTGCTCTAAATTTTAGTTCCAAGAAAGGTGCCTGCCTGATAAATTTCCATTCATGCATCTCCATTGGAAAGCAATTTAGTTGCGCTTCCGTTGGCAGATCTATATAAATGTGGGCAAAATCTGCCATCTGCAGGTGTCGTAGGACACCTCTCTGAGAAGGACAGCTACAATTCAGGAGGCTGGAAGTCAGGGGCTAAATGTCCTAATAAACTTTGCATTTGGGTTGAGAGAAACGGAACAAATTTGCACTGAGTTTAACTTTCAAAGAGTGTAATTAAGGTTCTCCATGGCTTCCTCTGTTACTGACAGTTTTACATGAAATCTCCTTAGGGACGGAATTCTAAAAAGGCAGAAACTCCTGCCTTTAAAACATTGTTAATTCTTCTCTTTCCTCCACAACAAAGTAAAACAAAACAAATAAAAGAAATAAACACCTCCACTTACAGGAATTAAAAAATGACCTGAAGAGGGAAGGGAAAGAGGATGTGAGCTTTCCTCTGGCCCTTGGGTCTCAGAGTCCCTCCCTCCCAGGTGGTAAGTAGCTGAGCCAAGAGCAGAGACACACCTCCCAAGCGGATTCTGGAAGGCCGCCTCTGTAGCTGCTGGACGTGGGAGAGTCTACTCCAGCATTCCTTCCCTCCAGTTAGCTAGAATCCATGGTAAAAAAGCAACAACCAACTACCCGGAAGGCGAGTGCAAAAAGGGGCAGCCACTTTGGAGAACAGTAGCAGTTGCTCAAAAAATTAAACACAGAGTTACCATATGATCCAGCAA